CAACCTCTTGTGCACCCCCAGGCCACTTGTTGGTGGGCTGGTGTGAGGAGCAGAAAAGTCCTTGACTCTGTGTCAGCGCTGCTCAGCAGTAATGAAAACATCTGTGCCTTATCAACACGGTTTCCAGCACAAACCCAAAACATAGCCCCATGCTAGCTATTGTGAGGAAAATTAATTCTATCCCAGCCAAAGCCAGCACAGTCAGAAGGAACCTGGGTGATGCAGCAGAGGTTTGGTAGCTGGTATTCATCACCCTCCATGTCACACACAAGAAATCCCAGTCAGATCACTTGGACACAGGTATCTAGGAGTTCATGAACATGAAAGGAAAAGTCACCTTACCCAGAAATAAAAATAACCTTCCCCTTCTTTGGAATCACGGAGTTTTTCTACAACCCAATGACCTTGTGTCCCTTTCTCCATCCTCATCCAGAAGACAATAAATGCTTAGAATGAAGTCAGTCATGCTATTACAAGGACTATTACTGCGCACTGGGAAATCATTGGTATTCCGAAGAAGCAGAAAATTATTCACGTGTATCACTAGTTGTAGCAGGAATTCGTCCCTGCCAGTCATTTGTCACTATAAAAATGTTATAAAAATTACAGAGTTTTCACATTCGAACTCCAGAAGTACTTAGAGCTACTACTCTCGGATTTAGTTACTATGATCATCAAATCTTTGCCTTCCGTATCTTTAGAATGAGATACTCTGGATTTTGCTAAATGATGGTGACCACACCTGTTTAATTTTCATTGCATTACTAACACGTTGACCCAGACAAGATCTAAACCATTTGTTCCTTTGTTCCCTGCATACAGTGCCCAGGTCAGCTTGTGGTTCAAGACCTTGAGCCACTCATCACCACCCTGCTGCCGAGACCAAACTCCTGTTTCACTTTTCTGGCTCAAGAAACTGCCCAATCGAAGCTTCCATTTTCTTCCATAGAAGAAAAAACAGTCTCTCCTTTTACAAAAGGAAGTTGACTGTGTCATGAGTTATCCTTTTCCCAATAAGAGGTACAGTGTTTTTTACAGTAAAACTACAATAAAAATGCAACTAGTTCACACTCATAAAAGCCCAAAGAAACATATTCAGAGGCTACTGCTAACAGCTTATGTGCAAAGTCAGTTTGTCTGGAACTGCAGCATATCTTAAAATTTCAGCTTTTGACTGTGCCATTTAGATGCAGCTCGTAAGATGCAGTACGAGAAGCTGTGTCCTTTCATCACCTGACGAATCAGTGCATGGCACTGCAGAGTATTCCAGTAGCTTGCCTCGATCAGGAGGCAAATGGCATTACATTATCCACCTGTCAGCTTTCAGCATGGCTTTTAGGCCTCAGGAAAGGAGAAACACTTTCCTACCAGGCAGTGTTTCTTCTGCCTCCCAACAAGCATTAGCTGTTCTATTTTGTAGCTGTCACAGTGCTGTTCAATTCCATGTAGTTGCAACAATTTGTGTTGATGGAAATTTTGGTACCAGAAACCTGGCAAAACAATGCTAGAAGACAACAACAGCACATACTGACAAGAGCAAGACAAAAATATCAGAATAAAGACACCTGTAGAAAGTTTTACAAAAATAAGTTACCAGCTATTTTATGGTGTATACTACAAACTCATCAACAGCCTTCAAACTGCAGATAAACTTGTGTTATAATATTTGTACCTAAACCTTAGGTTCAGCATGTATGGACCTGAATGTCTAGAAAGCCTCCCTTGGGCATCCCACATCGTCTTACTAGGCTGAACTTCACCAAATCTGGGCAGTCAGTAGAGTTTTCATATAAACGATGCAAGACACAGACATAAACAGAGTAGAATGTTCCCTGAGGTATATGGCTGCTTTTAACTGAAAATCCATTAACTTTTTAAAATAAAAATAATAAATAAAATATGAACAGTCCAATCACCACAGCACCCCAACTGGAATCACAGCAGTCTTTGCTTTGGCAGATTTTCCCAGAAAACAGGTTTTGTTGAGTTTGTGCAGGGCTTGTTCCACACTGCCATTTAAGCACACGAGAAAAAGACTCTTTCATCCACCCATTGCCACCTGCAGAGAAGACAGGCTAGAAAGAATCACAGGGGACAACTGTCTTCTCATCCTCCCCCTACCAAACTGCCAATTACATGACACTCCCTGTACTGTAACACTGTTTACAGGAAAATTTCAGTAACTGTGAGGATAGGTGCACTATCCAGTATTTCAGCTTAGGGAGTTTTTGTTGTTTGTTTTTTTTTTTTTTTTTTTTAATCTTTTTCCTGATGCTAAGTGGTTACAACCAGTCCCACCTAATGTCTACAAAGAAAAAGGGGAAAAACATTTGACTCAAAACAGCAAAAATAACCTAAGCCATAACACCCTGCAGCAGCGTATGTGAGAGCAAATCCCATGTACTAGCACGCAGTGGCACCCTCGCGAGAGGCTCGGTCAGACAGATCTATTTGGGAGGAGGGAAAGACAAGCAATCCTAACGCTGTTTGTTTGTATATGGGATGAAAAGCTGTAGAGTTACCACAAAATAGCAGAGGTATGCCAGGCGTTACGGTGGGGATAAATCTGCGTAACTTCAGACTGCCATCTCCTCGTGAAGGTAACAACCCCTTCCTTGGAGACGTGGCCAAACTGTGATTAAGGCTAGAGAAGGAGCAGGGCCAAGAGTTGCAGGTGCTGTGGTACTCTCTGATCCTTCTGGACACACGGATAAAAATCACTACTTCCCCATCTTACAGATGGATATTCTCATCCCAACAACATTGCCTGCTACAGCACGAGCAGACCTATGAAAGGTATGGAAAAGCAGGGCCCCTTACCAATAGGGTGAGAAAGAGCAAAACACACTTGGGAGAGTTCAGAAATTAATCAATAAAATCATTGAGGTAAGATTTTTCTCCCCCAGAAGGTGCTGGCAACAGTCCTGAACCACTACCGAGGAAACCAATTCTCCCATTACATTTGCTCTTTACTCACTGTTTGTTGTCTTGAATTAGCAGAGTCCAATATTCCGACATGTGTTCTCTCAGTTTCTTAGAGAAATGCTGAGCGGGCATGCTCCCACATAACCCCGTTCAAAGCAATTAAAGCTTTCACAATTACAGGTTATGACTCTCAGCTGTGGCATCTTGCAGCCATCCAGACAATTGTTTTATCCAAAACCCGAACATGATGGGGAGGGGAATGAGGAAATTTCTCTCACTCACTTGAGTTTGAGCTGCTCCAGCTTTATGTGAAGTTACTGAAGATTCCACGTTTTACCTCCTTGATGCTTAAAGTCAGAGTATATTGACTGAAGTATTACAAATGGCCAGGTAACTGCGCTGCACCTGAAGCCTGGCTCGTGTTTGTTACCTCCACCGCTTCCCTGAACCACTAACAGCTCCTCCTCTGCAGAGCTTTGCCTCTCTAGAGCTTTTGAGATGATTGCATACACCTGTTTCCCCTTTCAGCAAGTCCCCATCGCAAATTGGCTGCTGGCAACACCTGCCTCAGCCTCCTGAAAAAGCTGTAGAGCACTCTGCACCTGCTCTTCCAGAAGTTGTCCACATGCCTCGGGTGTAAATCTGGCTGTAGCTGAGTTTTATTACATTACTACAAATGCACCAGCTGAGTCCCTCCTATGAACACATAAAAGATGGATTAAAATCAGAGTAAAATTTTGTTAATGTTCATACTAAATCCACGTCCGACCAAAAATCTAGAGCTAGTCATAAAATGTTTATTTGGGTACGGGACTTAAAAAAAGAACTGAAAGAAAAATTCAGAATGAAGATCTTTGAGATCTGAGTCCCAACATTACACAGTCAAACTAGAACTGCTGTAGGGAAAGCAGGGACAGACCAGGGGAAGATACTGTTGACTGGAGAGCATGACTCAACTAGTGCCAATAAAGAAAAAAAAATGTACAGAGCAGCTATCACGATAGATTCAGAGAAAGAAAGGAAAATTCCTGGATAGTAAAGCAGTTATTCCAGTTGGGAAAAGTGCAAGTGAGAGTATTGCCTTAGAACTATAAATAAAGAACAAATGGAAAACAGGGGCCAAATATTTTCCTTGGTAGATATGACTGGTCACAATATAGACCAGTGTTTTCTTGAATCTTTCACTTTCAGAATTAGTATTTTGTGGGAAACTAAGCGAGTGAACTGTCCCGTTCCCTGATCACTTCTCTGAATTAAGATGTATCCTTTGTGTGGAATTCTGCAACCATGGTTGACATTTCTGATTTCAGTTTAATTACATAAATATTAGAGGAAAAACAGCTATGCCTCTTACAGTTTAAATTTAGTTCTCTGTTAATTATCTCCAATCCAGAATAGAAGTCAGCGTAGTAGGAAAAAGCTCTGCTCTGCTCTTTGGCTATAATTCTGTTTCATATAGAAATCTCATTCATAAGCTTGAAGAAACTTTGGTCCAATTTAAGTCTTTAAGTGGTATTTGGGGTTTGTATTAGTTCTTAGCAGACTGAGTAGCCAGAGACGTGCTGAGGAGGAGCAGTGTCTTCCACAAACATAAACGGTTAATTTCTTCCCATGGAAAAAAAAAAAAAAAAAAAAAAAAAGTTAGATTGTACATGACATATTTGATCTTTTCTGTTATATAGATCCAAGTCCTGCAGGAAATTAACTTGTTTAGCTCTGGATTGTGTCTAACACCAGTAAGAAGAAATGCATTCGCCACCCCCCAGAACCAGGATCAGATTTGTGCGTCTGTGTGTGTGTGTGTGCACATGTGCTCCCACACAATTCTGGAAGCTGTTGTGCACACACACGACTGTTTTGTACACACACTGTGACACATCGATATTTTAGCTGGATTTGTGTTGTTTACCACCCATATTCAAGTATCAGCAGTCTCATACTGGATACAGTAGATAAACATTGCTTTTAAAATATAGTATGGGAGAAAATCCAGGAATATGATGTCATCAACAGAGGGATGAGTCTGTTGTGATCAGGGAGGGGCAGAAAACCAGAAGTTAGACTCATTCACACAACAGAAAGAGCTTGGCTGTTCCCGGAGTCGTGTTGGACTTCACCCATTTGTACCTGCTCAGTGGTGAATTTGCAGTCAAGGTATGTGTTTCTGCTTCTCTTTAATATGAAAAGTTCTCATTATTTAAATTCAGTATGGTTTGTTGCTTCTTGGAAACCACTTCTTGAATTCTTAATACATTTCTGGTTCAGTGACAAAAGAACTGCTGTTACTAGTGTTCCAGGAACACGGAGGAGAAAAATAATTATTGCTAATGTGCTTTGGTAACTTGTCAGGTTTTGCAGAGCTGTAGCAGTTACAGAAAAAATGCTTTATTTCAAAGTATCCAACACATCAGAGGCACAGGGTCTTTCATCTGCCATAGATACTATCCAGTGTATGGGCTACTGGAGGGTAAGGATTTCTTCTGCCTGGAAGACATTTCGTGTCTCTAATCACACTATGAACACACGTTCTTTCACCTCACAAAAAAAAAACAAAAAAAAAAAAAAAAAAAAAAGTGCAAGCAGCTAACATTGTTTTCAGCTCAGAAATTGCCTACAAAATAGTGGGGAGAAACAAGGGACTTTTTCTGTATTTTCTGTACACACTGATTATTTTCTCTATGTTTATTATTTTGATTGTAAACTCTGTGGGGCTGGAAGTATGTCTGTGTGTGTGTGTGAACCTCACGCTGCTAACCTGTCTCTTCGGCGCTGATTGAATGGCAAACACTAAACCTTTAAAGCTTTTTGTTATGTAACAAAGAAGAAAGTTTTGGGTGACCTTTAAGCAGCACCATCAGTTTCTTTCTAAGATCTGTATCCAAATTAAAAAATGCAGGAGAAGAATGATTTATAAGATGCTGATACAAACAAGTGAAAGCTTAGAACTGAGATTGTAATTAAGTTCGTATAACAAAGAGACAAAAGGTTGAAATATATGCTGTACTTTTAGTTATTTATTTTCCATTACACAGTATCCTAAGCAGCCTTCTTGGTGTAATAATAACAAATTAACCATAAAGCCAAAAGAGTTCAAATAGTTTGCCATTAGAATCCTTGTTTTAATACACTGTATGTAATCTTACAGATACCATCTCCTAAGATAGGAGCATACTTTTATCTTGAACAGCTGAACATATTTTCTTAAAGAAGCTAGAAGACAGTTATCTAGGGAAAAAAAAATCTATTTTTACAGCTGAGTTGCTAAGATTGAAGTATCAGGATATTGAGTAATATCAGACATATGATTTTTATCATGTCTGCTGTTCTCTGAGAATGTGCAATCATTAAAAAAAAAAAAAAGTAGAGAAGCATCTTCCCACTTCAGGATCATTAATAGACTTCCAAATATATTTGTCTTGTCTTCAGTGTAAATAGTGAAAACAAAAAAGAGAAGGGATAAAGGTACCCAAGTTAATAAATACTTTGTATTAGCCAGAGCAGAGACACCTCTAGAAAATCTTTTTCAGGTTTTCCACTGGGCCCCGTACATGCTAGAACAAGATTAACTGAGTTACTCAGAGTTACCTGAACATTTTGTACTGACAATCCAGTAAAAAACCCCCGTGTTTCCTACTGAGTTAGAGCTTCCTGAAATAAGGATCTCATAATTGCACTGGAACATAACTTTTCAAAATTCTCATAGCTATGTAATATTTGAAGTTTTTTCTCTGACAGAAAACAAGAGGAATTTAAGAGAATTTTAGCACATTAATTATGAAGACCCTAAAATTCACTGCTTAAGAATAGTCAGTGTTTGATAGTCTGTTTTTCATTAAAAGAAGGGGGTAAAAAGCTCTTAGAAACCCAAATCCCACTGTTTTCAAGGTAACAGTAGGAAAAAAAGTTCATATTGCAAGTCTATGAAAACTCATCAGAGAACAGAGCTTTGCTTTCAAAACAAATTCCCTCCCAGTAACCAACTCAACAGCAAAAGTACGCCTGACCCCATTAGCAACGCTAATCAATACAGAGTTAAAAATTCCCGGAGAATAAATGCCACCTAGCTAAAAACCTCCACTTTTCAAGTTACACATCAGCCAGCCTTGTTCTATTGTCACCCACGGTTTTTTAAAAAACCCTGAGTCCTCCGTCCTTTCGGGTTTCCCCTGCCTTACTTCAAAGTTTGTCCTCCTTCCTTTTTGCGTTTAGTATACTTCACACACCGAGCTGAAAAGCCATGCCCCTGCCTACGTGCTGCACGGCCGTAAAATAACACGGTGGTTTAGATTGGAGACAGGAGCTCTCCTGAGCCGGTCCCCGAGGAATCCCCACGCTCCTCCGGTTGAGTTTTTGGGTGCTGACCCGCAAGCCCAGCGGTTGGCAGGCAGATGGCTGAGCCAGCTCCTCACCTCGCCCGGGTGCCCCCTGGCTAGGGAAGGGGGGAGACAGGGGGGCACCCCCTGGCCCGTGACAGCCCCAAGGCAGGTAAGCTCAACCGCAGTGGGAAAGCACGGAGTGGCTTCACACGAAGTTGCACCCGTAAGCAGTCACGGCGGCGGTGGTACGGCATTTACTTGGAAGTGATGTTAGTGCGCGGGGACCGAGGGACCCCGGTCGTGGTCCAACGCCCAGCTAAAGGGGTTAAATATTGCAGAACAGGCACCGATGGGATACAGACCAGAAAAAAAAAAAAAAAAAAAAAAACAAAAAAACGCAAGGAGCAAAGCTGTCTGCTGAAAACATGGTATCTTCAATCTGATGATAAGCGAGTCCAAAGCAATCAGACGTTGTGGCAAAGCTGCTGCATCAAACTTCAACAAAATGTTTCAGGGCTCTTAATGTTCCCTGAAGGGGTGTATTTGACTTTTTTTTTTGCTGCTGTGCTGTATCTACCTCCGCTACATATTAGCTCCTCAACTCTATTCCGCAAAGTTGGTCTGTTTTTTGTGATCCCTGCAAACAAATGTCAGCGTCCAGGTTTGCAGATCCACTAGTGTTGTGCTTCGCACACGAAGGTATGCCAGAGTGGTGATCCTGTTGCAAAGGCAGAATTCAGACGATGGCTAATTCGCAGAGAACGGATCTGTCAAAACGCAGAAATCCGTTTCTCCCACTCGTGTTATCTGAGATTACAGGCAAACTCCACCAAAAAAAAAAAAAAGAAAGTGAACAGTGGTTAGAGGTCCAGGTCTTTTTGATATTTACAGGATTATGCGTGTATGCCCAGAGACAGAAGTGGCCACAGCTGGTTTTGATCGTGCAGTGTTCCTGCTTTGGCAGAAGGGAGTAGGCTGCAGTCCTGCTCTGTGGGACCTGCACCCCTCTGTCTCCGGAGGTGCTCTGTCCCTTTACCATGGCTATATGGTTTCCTATCAGCTGTCTGACTGACCAACAGGCCGCTGCTCTGAACTGTCATGGGATACGAAAGAAGAGCAGCAGGTTCCCCTCCAGAAGGGTGATGTGAGTCCTCTGCCCACACACATGCAGCAAAGCGATAACCCAAGCCATTCCCCTGGTCTGAAGGGTAGACAGATAGTGATCAGGCCAGTAAACTGGAAGTGTTTCATCAGGTCCCCTGAGCAATTTTACAGAAAGCAGCTGTGAAGCCTTCGTAACTCAAAGGTGGGACCTGATCCTTAGACAAGTAGGAGGACAGCAACATTTCAGTACATGTGATTAGGTTTTAACTCAGGTCTGCATGCACCTCTCATCTCCTTCCCCAGCAGTTTTTCCCTGTAAAAAGTTATATTCTACTCTCTCTGCATTATATTTGGCTTCTGCTTAGATTATAAGGTCCCTGAGGCAAAGCCTGTCCCTGTGATTGAACAACTTTTGCACATTATCACTGAAACCTCCGGTCACCAGTATAACACAGGCAGTATGGTGATAGCTGCAGGGCTGTGCTCCGGGTCCCACCTGCTAGACTGGGTCAAACAGCACACCAGGCAAACAGCCAGATGAAAGGACAAAAGAAGTGATACAATTAAACACCCAGGCTAGGTCCTCAGCTGGACTGAATGCTCACAGTGCCGTCCGCATCAGCAGAGTAATGGCAGTTTACACTAGGTGAGGTCTTACAGGTCTGTAAGTAGGGATGAGTGATTTGCTCACCAGAAACCTCTCACCAAACGTGACAGCACAGCCACATCCTTTTTCTGGCTTGTTTTTTCCAGCGGGAAAGGTCTGTGAAAGGCTTGTTTTCCTAACTGTGAAATCAGGACGGCAAGAAAGAAACCTGTGCAGTGGATATTCCCTTAACTATCACAGCAGGTGAACTTCGATGTGGGACATAAAATATGCTCCAAGTCAAATTTTAGCCTTTGTAACTGTACAGCTTAAGCTCAGTGTTGAACTTCAACCAATGAATCTTACAACCACTCTAGTGCGACCAGGTTATTTACTGTAACGGACTCAGCTCAGCCTGTGATATCTGATCTCAAGGATGGATTTCTTATTTCTAAATCAAATCAAACCCTCCAGACACTGTGTTTGTACTCTGGAGAGCCCTCCTACATGCTCCTCATGAAGGATCCCACTTCATCTGCTCTTGACCAGCTCACAGATGGCTGTTCTCCTTGGCATCACCCAGGAAGGCTTGCTGTGCCTGGTTCTTCCAGAGCTGGGCACTGGAAACATGGAAACCACTTCCAGAGTAAACAGTAAAATAGCAGGCAAATGGTTTGTGGCAATAAGGGAATGTCTGCTTTATGGAAATTCTCTCTCCTTTCTCTCTGTATGCACATAGACGTCTATCTAAACACACATATACATACACCTATATAGATAAACAAATAGAGATTTATTATCATCTTGCCAAAGAAGTACAACGCATGTTCCTCTGCATGATCATGTTATCCATGTAGCCCTGTCCATGATCATGTTATCCATGTAGCCCTGTCCTACCTATTACTAGGGGACAATCCTACAAGGAGCCTCCACCACTTTCTTCCTCGTTCCCAGGTTTTTATTTTGTACAAAACAATCAGCAAATATTTTCATCAGACATTTCTGATGCGTCCGTACATTAGGATTAAGACTGTTGTGTTTGTTTATTTCTGTTTCTCTGCTTGGGCAAGGATCGTTTTTTTCTTCTAGTTAATGGCAAAATTTCCAAGTCATGAGGATCTAGGACTATCCCTCATGGGCAGATAAAC